TGTGTGTGTGTGTGTGTGTGTGTGTGTGTGTGTGTGTGTGTGTTAGAGAGAGAGAGAGAGAACGCTACAACTCTACTTCCAGTGTTTTGGTGTTTTGTGGGGGGGGGTGGGTTCATTGGAGATAAGAGTCTCATGGACTTTTCTGCCTGGGTTGGCTTTGAACTGTGATCCTCAGATCTCAGCCTCCCGAGTAGCTACCACTCCCCCTATTTTCCCCATATTTCAGACCCTGTCTGTGGGCCGAAGCCCTCTGCCCCTGGAACATGTGGGCATGTGTCTCGAGTTCTTCTCTGTGGTACAGCCTGTCATCCAAGCTACTCAGGAGGCTGAGATCTGAGGATCATGGTTCAAAGCCAGCCCAGAGCAGGAAAGTCCGTGAGCCTCTTATCTCCAATGAACCACCAGAAAACCGTGGCTCAAGTGGTAGAGCGCTCACCTTGAGCTGAAGAGCTGAGAGACAGCGCCCAGGCCCAGAGTTCAAGCCCCATGATCGACCGAAAATCAAAAAAGATGCAAATTCCCAAGATTTGCATGTTATGACTTCGCGTGGATCTGCAGCGAGGCTTGGTGAGCACCGACTTCTCTACAACTCCTGGCCACGGTCAGGCACACACAGGGCCTTCCTGAGGCCATTAAGAGAAGGATTGTGGGCCAGACACTGGTGGCTCACCCCTGTCATCCTAGCTAACTCAGGAGGCTGAGATCTGAAGATCACAGTTCAAAGCCAGCCCGGGCAGGAAAGTCCGTGAGACTCTGATCTCCAATGAACCACCAGAAAACCGGAAGTGGCGCTGTGGCTCAAGTGGTAGAGCCCTCGATGCTGGGGTCCTCTTACCTCTGCGTTGGACTCTTGAGTGTCTGATGATTCCGTACTTGTACTTTTAGGGTGTCCCCATTTTATGAGTCCTCATTCTTGGCTCATCCCCCCCCCCAACTTGTTATTTGAGACTCGCGATGGGACACAGAAGGCTCTGACCGCCCCACACCTTCATTTTCAGGGCCCCTGGATGAGATCTTTCTGGTGTCTCCTCCCTCCCACTCTCCCCCCCCCCTCCCCAGCTGTCAGCACCTCTTAAGGAGTGGAGGTGCGGTCTCTGCGGGGTTAATGATTGCTCAGGGGAGGCGGAGATGGTGCTAAAGTCTGCGGGCTGGGCTGCCCTGGCCTCAGTGCCCAATTTCCATTTGTGCCTCCCAGTGCGGGTCACCACCTCGGCGCCCCTCCCGGGGGCACAGGTAAGGGCTGGTGGGGTGGTCTCCTGGCCAGAAGATGAAGTAGGAGTTCTTAGGGCCCAGGTCAGTGTAGGGGTGATTCTGATCCCCAGAGCTGGGTGTGGATGTGGCCGGTCGGGCTAGCGAGGGTGCTGGGCTGTCTTTAGTGCCCCTGATCCCTCCCTGCCCTCTTCGGGAATTGGCCCCCCTCCCACCCCGCTGTGGGTGTTCGCCAGATGTAGAAGAGGGGTTACGCGTGGACACCCCACTTCCAGGAGGACCCGGGGGGGGGTGAGGATGAGCTACCAACGCTTGAGGAGGAACAAGCCTGGTTCTGAGACACCCCATTGCCCCCCCCCACCCCGACTGCTGGGTGAAGGGACAGGACTCAAGGTAGATGGACTGACCCCCCCTCCCCAAAAGGGAGGGACTTATTTTGGGGGTGGCCACCAGCACCCTCATAAACATGGAGATCCTCTCAATGAAAACAAACCCCTACCCCACCGTCACCCTCTTTCTCAGCGGGGGGGGGGAAAGGGGGGAAACTGAGGCACAGACAGGAAGAGGAGCTAGAATCCAGATTCAGGATCACTTGGACTCAGGTCGCTGTGAGGCTGGCAGGGAGCTTGGTGTTTAGGGGTGGGGTGTGTGTGTGAGGGGGGGGTTCTCTATTCTCACACCAAAGTATCGGGGTACGGGGATGAGGCCTGGACCCCACACTTGTTGGGAATCTTCAGGATGAGGGGCTGCGGTGGGCCCTGGATTAGGCATCACCACGTGACGTCATTTCTTACCTGGGGAGCAGGTGGGAGGAAAGCCGGAGAAAACAGGAAGTGAACACAGGGGCCGGAACAGGCGCTGGCTGAGCTGAGCAGACCTGGCAGCGGTGGCTGTGGGTGGGGGACCCTACAACACGGTGGACTGAGCCTTGAATGAGGAGGTACTCCCCCCCAAAGGCTCTGGGTCAACCTAGGACCCTCCCCTTCTAGGTGATTCTGAATTCTAGCAGCTCTCTGGAGTTCTGGACTGTGGCTGAAAGTTGCTCCCCCAGGACCAGGCAGGGGTGGACAGGGCATCCTGGGTTGGTAGGGTCTCTGGACCAACCCCCCAATTCTCCTGGGTGGCCTTTTTGGGTAATAACTGAGGTTTGAACTCAGAGTCTCAAGCACACTAGGCAAAGCAATCTACCACTGGAGCCACACCCCAGGCCTTGGTTGGTTGTTTGTGTTGTGTTTTTGTTGTTGTTGGTTGTGGGGCTTTGAACTCTGGGCCTGGGCGCTGTCCCTCAGCTCTTCAGCTCCAGGTGAGTGCTCTACCATTTGAGCCATGGCACCACTTCCAGCTTTTTCTGCTTATGTGGTGCTGAGGAATCGAACCCAGGGCCTTATGCATGCAAGGCAAGCAGTTTACCACTAAGCCACCTTCCCAGCCCTCCTTCAAACAGTGTAAAAAGCTATTTTAGATTATTTTCTTTTAAAAAAAAATTAGACCAGCCGGGCGCCGGTGGCTCACACCTGTCATTGTAGCTACTCAGGAGTCTGAGATCTGAGGATCACAGTTCAAAGCCAGCCTGGGCAGGAAAGTCCGTGAGACTCTCATCTCCAATAAACCACTCAGAAAACTGGAAGTGGTGCTGTGGTTCACGTGGTAGAGCGCTCCCCTTGAGCTGAAGAACTCAGGGACAGCTCCCAGGACCAGAGTTCAAGCCCCTAAGGCCTACAAAAAAAAAATTTAGACTGGGGGTTGGGAAGGTGGTTCAGTGGTAGAGTGCTTGCCAGCATGCATGAAGTCTTGGGTTCAATTCCTCAGTACCACATAAGCAGAAAAAGCCAGAAGTGGCGCTGTGGTTCAAGTGGTAGAGCACTAGAGGAAAAGAGCTCAGTGACAGTGCCCAGGCCCTGAGTTCAAGCTCCAGAATTAGAGGCAAAAAAGAAAAAATTAGACTGGATCTGGAGCCAGTGGCTCACACCTGTCATCCTAACTACTCAGGAGGCTGAGATCTGAGGATCGTGGTTCTTTAATTCCATTCCCAAGGCCTTTTTACAAACTGGTTTTTCCTTAATATGAAATTTGAATGAACTCTTAGACACATTTGTTTGTACCCAGATCTGATGCTTCTTTGCAGTTTGAGTTCAAAACTGCTCACTTTGCTGGGTGCCTGTGGCTCACACCTGTCATCCCAGCTACTCAGGAGGCTGAGATCTGAGGATCGCAGTGTAAACCCAGCCCGGGCAGGAAAGTCCATGCGACTCTGATCTCTAAATAACCACCAAAAAACCAGAAGTGGCGCTGTGGCTCAAGTGGTAGAGGGCTGTCCTTGAGCTGAAGAGCTGAGGGACAGTGCCCAGGCCCAGAGTTCAAGCCCCGCGACCAACAACAAGAAAAAGAAGTCTCAGACTGGCCAGTGTCCCAGTGACCCTTCCAGACTCAGGATCAGATTCCCCGATTTAGACATCTCCAAAATGGGAAATGACCAGCCAGGGGGGTGTAGGAACTGTCATGGTGCCAGGTCTAGACAGAATGGAGAGCAGAGGGCGCCTGGGAAGGCTTCCTGGCATCTTGTTGGGGATCATGGGAGGGTCCCAGGCTCTGAGGTCACATCCACGCCACTGCACCCCCCACCCCCCCACCCCCACCATGGAAGACTTCTCCCATTTACTATTGATGTGTACACATCCACCCAACCATCCCCTCTTTCTATGGGTGGCCCTTACCCTCAGGAGGTTGAGATCTGAGGATCGTGGTTCGAAGCCAGCCCAGGCAGGAAAGTCTGTGAGGCTCATCAGCAAGTAATCACAGAAAAGGCCGGAAGTAGTGCTGTGGCTCAAGTGGTAGAGTGCTTGGCTTGAGCAAAAGAAGCTCAGGGACAGCGTCCAGGCCCAGAGTTCAAGCTCCAGGACCAGGAATAACTACAAGAACAAAAAGAGTCTCGTGAACTTTCCTATCCAGGCCGGCCTCCATTCGTGATCCTCAGATCTCTCAGCCTCTTGAGTAGTTAGAATAACAGGCCTGAGCCACTGGTGGCCAGCTTGAGAAGAACTGACGAAGTGCTGGTGGTGTACAAGGAGGGGCTGTTGGTAAATACAGGCTCCATCTCAGTTTGCCGTCTATCTGCCTCCCCTGTCTGTGAATCCCGGGGAGGAAAAGCTGGCAGCTCAGGAACACAAACGAACCCAGAGTCTGGAAGAGAGAAAAAGCAGCCGGGTGCCAGTGGCTCACACCTGTCATCCTAGCCACTCAGGAGGCTGAGATCTGAGGATCACGGGCAGGAAAGTCCGTGAGACTCTGATCTCCAATGAGCCACCAGAAAAACCATAAATGGCGCTGTGGTTCAAGTGGTAGAGCGCTCGCCTTGAGCTGAAGAGCTGAGGGACAGCGCCCAGGCCCAGAGTTTAAGCCTAACAACCAACACAAAGAGAGAAAGAGAGAGAGACAGAGACAGACAGAGAAAGAGAGAGAGACAAAGCATAGATTTATTTTCAGCGCTGGGGATTGAACCCAGAGCCTTATACATGCTAGGAAAGCACTCCACCTCTGAGTTTTTGCTATCTATCTATCTATCTATCTATCTATCTATCTATCCATCCATCTATCTATCCATCTATCTTTTGTCAGTTGTGGGCCTTGAACTCTGGGCCTGGGCACTGTCCCTCAGCTCTTCAGCTCAAGGCGAGCGCTCTACCACTTGAACCACAGCACCACTTCTGGTTTGCTGGTGGTTCATTACAGATAAGAGTCTCACGGACTTTCCTGTCGGGCTTTGAACTGTGATCCTCAGATCTCAGCCTCCTGAGTAGCTAGGATGACAGGCGTGAGCACCAGCTCTCAGTGTATCTTTATAATTTGAGACTGATTCTCTCAGTTTCTTAGGCTGGCCTTGGACTTGAGCTCCTACTGTCTCAGCCTCCCAAGTAGCAGCGATTAGAGGCGGAAGCTCCCAAGCCTAGTTTGGATGATCTAGTTTGGGATTGTAAACCCGTCACTCACTGCCCGGGCCTTGTCCCTTCCCCTCTGGGGTGGGGACGGTTCATAGGTACAAAGTGCCAGAAATTTCCATCCATCAAGACCTACGGACTTTGTTATGATGATTAATGCACCTCTTATTTAAGCCATGTAAGGATTAGTTATCCTCTGGCTAATGACCCTGAGAGCTGGCTTAGGCATATAGTAAAGTTCTGGGTTCAAACTTCAGTACCACAAGCGACCGATTTTTATTTATTCTGTGCCAATTACCAGGGCTTGAACTCAGGGCCTGGGTGGGTACTGTCCTTTAGCTTTTCCACTGAAACCACAGCTCCACTTCCATCTTTTTGGAGAGAAGAGTCTCTGGATTTTCCTGCCCCTGGCTGGCTTTGAACCACAGGGCAGCGTAGGGCTTGACCACATTTACACAAATGGCAAAGGACCCGAGTTCAAGTCTGCATCATCATTGGCTCAGACGAGCCCCGATCTCTGTGTCCTGGCTTGGAACCCCCCCCCCTGGCCCGCCCAATCATGGAGCAGCCAGGAGAAGATGTGGGTAATAGGTGGGTTTGGGTGTGATCCAAACAGACGGAGCTGGGTGAAAGGAAGGCTGGCACCTTTGTCTGACATTTGGTCTCCTAGGTCCGGCCCGATGGCGCAGCTGTGGCTGCTCTGCTTTCTACTTCCTGCCCTCATGGGGTCTGGTAGGTGCCCCCCTTTTTCCTCCCCCCCCCCGCCCCGCAAGAACAGAACTGAAGCCCAGTGCAGTAGCTCACGCCTGTAAGCCTATTACTCGGGAGGCTGGGATGGGAGGATCATGGTTCAAAGCCAGACCGGGCAGAAAAGTCTGTGAGGCTCTAAACTATAATGAAGCACCACCCCGATCCACCTCCCCCCCCTCCAAAAACAAAGCCAGAAGTAGAGCTGTGGCTCAAGTGGTAGAGTGCTAGCCTTGAGCAAAAAGAAGCTCAGGGACAGTGCCCAGGGCCCTGGGTTCAAGCCCTAGGCCTGCCACCCCCCCCCTACAGAACAGAACTGGGGAGTCCTCAGTAGAATCATGTAGAGGGGCTGGGGTAGCCCCCATCAACATGGGAGGCCTGGGGAATACTCCTGGGGGTGTCTGGTTCTAGGCTGGTGAGCTGGGCTGAAGTTGTGGGGTCTCAGGAGTGCATCTGGATTGGGGGGGGCGTTCAAGTTTTGCACGGTGTCCAGAGGTTCTCCTTGCTCTGTGTCCCTGCAGTGACAGCCAATAAGCCCCCCAAATTCACAAGTAACATAACAAACCTCGTTGTCCTACCTGAGGATCTACCAGTGGGTAAGTAATGACTCCCGTGCTGGACCAGAACCAAGCCCCTGTCCCGGAAGAGCCCCCAATTCCTGTGACATCATGCCTTACCACTGGGCAGAGGTGGCCTGAAGGGGGTTGGAGTTCCAGAAGTACGTGCGTGTGTGTGTGTGTGTGTGTGTGTGTGTGTGTGTGAAGAATCTCTTGCATTTACCTTCCTGGCTTGGCTTCAAGCTGTGGCCCTGAGATCTCAGCCTCCTAAATAGCTAGGATTATAGGCATGTGCTACTGGCACCTGGCAAAATTCTGTGACTATTTTCCACGTTAAGGTATATTTATCTAATCTACATGTGGGTTTTTTTTGTCTTTTTTTTGTGTGTGTGTGCTGATACTGAGGCTTAAATTCAGGACCCAGAGCTCTCCCTTGGCTTCTTTTTTTCAAGGTTGGAGGTCTACCACACTTCCCAAAGTTATTATTATTATTTTTTTGGTCAGTCATGGGGCTTGAACTCTGGGCCTGGGCGCTGTCCCTCAGCTCTTCAGTTCAAGGCAAGTGCTCTACCACTAGAGCCACAGTGCCACTTCTCATTTTCTGGTGGTTCATTGGAGATAAGAGTCTCATGGACGTTTCTGCCCAGTCTGGCTTTGAACTGCGATCTTCAGATCTCAGCCTCCTAAGTTGCTAGGATGACAGGCGTGAGCCAACAGCACCTGGCAACCCAAAGTTATTCTTCATGCCCAATTTTACCCTGTTCCTATCAGCCATTCTCTCTCCTTTCCTCTTCTCCACCCAAGTATATATTGGGGCTGCATGTACATGGAGACCAGTATCATTCACACTAGATCCAAAATGTGGGATTTTCAAAAGACACGGAGCGCAGGTGGCTCACGCCTGTCATCCTAGCTACTCAGGAGGCTGTGGCTCAAGTGGTAGAGCGCTCGCCTTGAGCTGAAGAGCTGAGGGACAGCGCCCAGGCCCAGAGTTCAAGCCCCACAACCGACTAAAAACAACAACAACCAAAAATCCAGGCAGGTCCCTGGGCCTGCGCAGTGACCTATGCACTCAGGAGGCTGCTGTCCCCTTCACAGCCGCACCAGACATCTCTTACCACGGGGATCCAGCCCCAGGAGGCTGAGGGGTCTCAGAGGATCTCAGATGTTCAGGTGTTGGGAGACCCTGAGGCCCTGGCTGGGCCTCCCAGGTAGCCATGGACCCCGGGCAGGCTGGCTTTTCTCCAGGTGCGGAGGCCTTCTGGTTGTATGCTGAAGATGAAGATAACGATGCACTGACCTATGCAATGAGTGGCGAGGACTCCACTTTCTTCTCTGTCAACCCAAGGACTGGGGAAGTGAAGGTGGCCAGTTCTCTAGACTACGAGGTAAAGGCAGCAATGTGGGAAGGGATGGGGGGGGAGAGGGGGAGGAGGGGGGGAGTAGGGAGCCAGGTTTTCAGATCCAGAGTCCTGATGGGGGGTACTCAGTCCCTGCACCCCCATACTGAGCAGAGGCCTAACTCCCTGCCCCTTCTTTTCCCTGCCCATTACAGACAGACTACTTCCTCTCCTTTGAGGTCTCTGTGAGAGACCCATACAACGCACCGGTGAGTTGTAAAGTGGAGGGGAAGGGGGGGGGGAGAGCAGGGTTACAGGTATCCATCCCTATTGTTTTCCATTGGAAATGGCCGCCCGCCTGCCTTCTTCCCTTCCTTCCTTCCTTCCTCCCTCCCTCCTTCCCTCCTTTCCTTCCTTCCTCCCTCCCTCCCTTCCTTCCTTCCTTCCCTCCTTCCTCCCTCCCTCCCTTCCTTTCTTTCCTCCTTCCCTCCCTCCCTTCCTTTCTTTCCTTCCCTCCCTCCCTCCCTCTCTCCCTCCCTCCTTTCCTTCCTCCCTCCCTCCTTTTTGGCCTTTCTCCTCCTTCCTTCGCTTCCCTTCTTTCCTCCCTCCCTCTCTTCCCTCCCTTCTTTCCTCTCTCCCTCCCTTCCTTTCTTTCCTACCTCCCTCTCTTCTTTCCTTCCTTCCCTCCTTCTTTCCTCACTCCCTCCTTTTCTTCCTCCCTCCCTTCTTCCTTCCCTCCCTCCCTTTCTTCCTTCCTTCCTTCCTTTCCTCCCTCCCTCCCTTCCTCCCTCCCTCCCTTCCTTTCCTTCCCTCCCTCCCTCACTCTCAACCTCCCTCCTTTCCTTCCTCCCTCCCTCCCTCCTTTTTGGCCTTTCTCCTCCTTCCTTCGCTTCCTTTCTTTCCTCCCTCCCTCCCTTCCCTCCCTTCTTTCCTCTCTTCCTCCCTTCCTTTCTTTCCTCCCTCCCTCTCTTCCTTCTTTCCCTCCTTCTTTCCTCACTCCCTCCTTTTCTTCCTCCCTCCCCTCTTCCCTCCCTTCTTCTCTCCTTCCCTTCCTCCCTTCCTCCCTTCCTTCCTTCCCTCCTTCTTTCCTCACTCCCTCCTTTTCTTCCTCCCTCCCCTCTTCCTTCCCTCCCTCCCTCTCTCCCTCCCTCCCTCCCTTCCTTCCTTCCTTCCTTCCCTCCTTCTTTCCTCACTCCCTCCTTTTCTTCACCTCTCCCCTCTTCCCTCCCCCCTCCCTCTTTCCCTCCCTTTCTTCCTTCCTTCCTTTCTTCCTCCTTCCTTCCTTCCTTTTTTTCCCCTCCCTCCCTCCTTTTCTCCCTCCTCTTCTCCTTAGCCCCCACATTATTTTTGGTGGGCTTCCCATTGGCTGGGCAGGTGCTCTACCCTCTACTACTGAAGACACCTCAGGAGCATTTTTTATCGTTGTTTTTGCTTCCGTTACTTTTCAGACCAGCTCTCTTACTTGCTGCCTGTCTAGGATCTTAGCCTTGGACAAAGTCCTCTCCATCTCTGCCTCCTCGATAGTACAGGCGTGTGCTCTGCTTTCTGAGATTACAGGCATGAGGCCCCACACTCGAGAGCTGTTCTGTGGCTTGAAGTGTCCCTCCAGTCACGTTGTGTGGACTCCCCTGGCTTCTCGCCCCTGCAGGTGGTGGCCACAATGAAGGTACTCCTAGAAGACAGAAATGACAACATCCCTGTCTTCCAGGACACCAGCTTGTCCACCAGCATCAATGAGGTGAGCTCTGTGCTGACGGGGAGCCCTCCCCCCCACCCCCCCAGCATCTTAGAGTGGAAGGAAGGACAGTCAGCTGGAGAGGGTGGAGGCACAGGTAAAAGACCAAATTCATTCGAAAGACACCCCAGCCTCCATGAACCACAGTTACAGCAGCTGGATGTGTGTGTGTGTGTGTGTGTGCGCACATGCGTCCGCGTGTGCACGCCAGACTGGGGCTTGAGACCAGGGCCTGAGCCCTACCCCTTAGCTTTTTCACTCAAGGCTGGTACTCTACCACTTGAGCCATACCTCCACTTCTTGCTTTTGGCTACTTAATTGGAAATAAGAGTCTCGTGGAGGGCTGGGAAGGTGGCTCAGTGGTAGAGCGCTTGCCTTGCACGCATGAGGCCCTGGGTTTGATTCCTTAGCACCACATAAGCAGAAAAACCTGAAGCGGTGCTGCGGCTCAAGTGGTAGAGCGCTCGCCTTGAGCTGAAGAGATGAGGGACAGCACCCAGGCCCTGAGTTCAAGACCCACAACCAACACAAAAGGCCAGGCCTGACACAAAAACATAAACAACCCTCCCCTCCCCAGATCCTCAAGTCTAGCCGAGCACCAGTAGCTCAGGCCTGTAATCCTAGCTACTTAAGAGGCTGAGATCTGAGGATCATGGTTCAAAGCCAGCCCAGGCAGAAAAGTCCACAGGAGACTCTTATTACCAATTAACCACTTGAAAAGTAGAAGTGGCTCAAATGGTAGAGTGCTAGCCTTGAGCAAAAGAAGCTTAGAGACAGCGCCCAGGCTCTGAGTTCAAGTCCTACAATGTACCAACAACAACAAAATCCTCAGGTCTCAGCCTCGTAAGTAGCTGGCATTACAGGCTTTCAGCTTGATTCACAATTTTTTCCCCTAGTCCTGGGGCTTGAACTCAGGGCCTGGGCACCGTCCCTGGCCCTTTTGCTCAACGCTAGCACTACTACCACTTGAGCCACTTCTGGCTCTTTCTGTGTGTGTGGTACTGAGGAATCGAACCCAGGGCTTCATGCATGCTAGGCAAGCACTCTACCACGGAGCCACCTTCCCAGCTCTTGAGTCACAATTTTAAGAGATCTCTGCCCACCCTGTGGAAGTTGTGCAAATGTCTTACCAGCAGGGAACTCCTGGAGGGTATGTGCTATTCTAGAATGTTCTCCGGCCCCCCCGATCCAGACAGGCTCCATCAATCAGAAGCTGGCTCAGGTGGCCAGAAGGCTGATTAGGCACACCAGGAAAGTAGGGTTCTGTGTTGCTGACCCCCACAGGGGCAAAGCACGGGGCAGGGGAAGAAGGGGGGGAGTGGAGGAGGGAAGAAAGAGATCCAAAGTCAGGAGTGGAGCTTGGGTCCCTCCTTACAGACCCTGCCGGTTGGCTCGGTGGTGTTCTCGGTGCTGGCGGAAGACAAGGACTCTGGGACAGGGGGCACGGTGGAGTATTTCATAGAAAAGGTGAGTGTGGAGGGGTGTGTGTGGAGGGGTGTGTGGGGGGGTGTTATACACAATCTGGCCACCAGGTGGCAGCATCACCACAGACAACCACCCCGGTCCTTGGCTGTCCAGGCTCTCTCTGCCTGGGCGCTCTGGTCTCCCAAGCTTTGTTCTGATTTCCATGCTGCATCCTCTCTTGAGGAGGAATCTGCATTTCCCACACAGCTGCTTCCCAAAGAAGACTGGGAGTGTCAGACTTGGTCTTGAGTCTTGTCCAAAGTTTGCACAAACAAGAAGGGGTACGTGAGCCTGATTCTTTGTGTGTGTGTGTGTGTGTGTGTGAAGAATCTCTTGCATTTACCTTCCTGGCTTGGCTTCAAGCTGTGGCCCTGAGATCTCAGCCTCCTAAATAGCTAGGATTATAGGCATGTGCTACTGGCACCTGGCAAAATTCTGTGACTATTTTCCACGTTAAGGTATATTTATCTAATCTACATGTGGGTTTTTTTTGTCTTTTTTTTGTGTGTGTGTGCTGATACTGAGGCTTAAATTCAGGACCCAGAGCTCTCCCTTGGCTTCTTTTTTTCAAGGTTGGAGGTCTACCACACTTCCCAAAGTTATTATTATTATTTTTTTGGTCAGTCATGGGGCTTGAACTCTGGGCCTGGGCGCTGTCCCTCAGCTCTTCAGTTCAAGGCAAGTGCTCTACCACTAGAGCCACAGTGCCACTTCTCATTTTCTGGTGGTTCATTGGAGATAAGAGTCTCATGGACGTTTCTGCCCAGTCTGGCTTTGAACTGCGATCTTCAGATCTCAGCCTCCTAAGTTGCTAGGATGACAGGCGTGAGCCAACAGCACCTGGCAACCCAAAGTTATTCTTCATGCCCAATTTTACCCTGTTCCTATCAGCCATTCTCTCTCCTTTCCTCTTCTCCACCCAAGTATATATTGGGGCTGCATGTACATGGAGACCAGTATCATTCACACTAGATCCAAAATGTGGGATTTTCAAAAGACACGGAGCGCAGGTGGCTCACGCCTGTCATCCTAGCTACTCAGGAGGCTGTGGCTCAAGTGGTAGAGCGCTCGCCTTGAGCTGAAGAGCTGAGGGACAGCGCCCAGGCCCAGAGTTCAAGCCCCACAACCGACTAAAAACAACAACAACCAAAAATCCAGGCAGGTCCCTGGGCCTGCGCAGTGACCTATGCACTCAGGAGGCTGCTGTCCCCTTCACAGCCGCACCAGACATCTCTTACCACGGGGATCCAGCCCCAGGAGGCTGAGGGGTCTCAGAGGATCTCAGATGTTCAGGTGTTGGGAGACCCTGAGGCCCTGGCTGGGCCTCCCAGGTAGCCATGGACCCCGGGCAGGCTGGCTTTTCTCCAGGTGCGGAGGCCTTCTGGTTGTATGCTGAAGATGAAGATAACGATGCACTGACCTATGCAATGAGTGGCGAGGACTCCACTTTCTTCTCTGTCAACCCAAGGACTGGGGAAGTGAAGGTGGCCAGTTCTCTAGACTACGAGGTAAAGGCAGCAATGTGGGAAGGGATGGGGGGGGAGAGGGGGAGGAGGGGGGGAGTAGGGAGCCAGGTTTTCAGATCCAGAGTCCTGATGGGGGGTACTCAGTCCCTGCACCCCCATACTGAGCAGAGGCCTAACTCCCTGCCCCTTCTTTTCCCTGCCCATTACAGACAGACTACTTCCTCTCCTTTGAGGTCTCTGTGAGAGACCCATACAACGCACCGGTGAGTTGTAAAGTGGAGGGGAAG